TTGTGGGGAGCAATCATCGGTTTCGTTTAGATAGTAACGTTAATATCTTGGTTAGCCAACGTTAATATCTTCGACAGTCTGGTTTTAAGAATCACAAAACTAGTAGTGCAAGTGGTAAGCAGTATTATATAATTAGCAGACAATCATAGCTAAAACAAATGAAGCCGTAATAATGAGTACCTCTAATCACGCCAACTTTAATTATAGCCCATGTCTCCTCAATCCCACTACTTGGCTCTTCCAGTATTTATCCTAAGGTTCACATTTTTTGTTTCTTTCAAGTAAATATAGCTCTCTGTCTTTTTGGTGTATCAAGGAACTAGATATCTATTTCTAGCAGCCAGGTTTTGTTGAGGGGTCGGATTGATTCTATGGCCCTAAACTCCTTCTGGGTCTGTGTTAATCTCTTTTTCAGTTTCTGGGTTGTTGCTTTCTGTGATCCAGATGGTATAATTTCTTTCTTCTGACTGATTTCTCTATTTGTTCGTCCTCTCTGATTGTCTTTTTTAATGCAATATGACCAAATGTTGATTGCTTTTAGGCTCTATATTGCTAATAGAAATGCAACCAAGACATCAATGTATTTGATAAATTTCCAGTTAGAAAACGAACTGCAAGGCTTTATTTATTTTGATCATTTCTCTAATTTCTTGATCTTTTGTTCTTGTTCCACTAAGAAAACAAGTAGAGGACAGTTGTTTTGAGTGTGCTCTTGCTAATTTAGTTGTGCGTGTTTGATGGTGAGACAGGTTACTTGAGCTTATCCTGTGGTGGAGCGACAAGTTTTGTTGATTCATCTAACATCTCCTGGGTATCAGATGCTGCATACATAAGCACAGGCAAAACAACTACCATTGATTACACAGAGGGTGCCTCCTCTGATGGTGTCCCAGTTCGTTTCTTCCCGGATTCTGATCAAGGTCGAAAATGTTATAAATTGCCATTGATGAATGTGTCATCACTGGTTCTTGTAAGGGCAAAATTTGTGTACAAGAACTATGATGGACTGGAAGAACCTCCAGCATTCTATGTCTCTCTTGGTACAGCCATTACTAGCAATGTAACTCTTGCTACGAATGATCCATGGACCGAAGAGTTTATCTGGCCAGTTACTACGGACACTCTTTCCTTCTGTTTGCATAATATTCCAACCCATGGAGCTCCGGTCATTTCATCACTTGAAATTCGGCCACTCCCTCGAGGTGCTTACCAAACTGCCATGGAAGATTATTACCCTGACAAGTCTCTGAGGAAGTGTTATCGTATTAATAGTGGCTACATGAATGGCTCTCTGCGGTAAAATCTTGCAATTTTCATGGTACCTTCATCTTTGGTTTTGAGATCTGGTTTCATTTTCAGCTTTTTCTATGGTTGACATAGGTACCCTGTTGATCCCTTTGATCGCATCTGGGATGCTGATCAAAGCTATTCTCCCTTTCATGTGTCAACTGGAATCAACATTTTTTCGAGCTTCAGCGAGTCAAATCTTAGTGAAAGTCCTCCTGCTTCTGTTCTGCAAACAGCAAGAGTCCTTGCACGAAAAGATGTCTTAAGCTATGAACTTCCTCTTAATACTGAAGGGGACTATTACATTGTCCTCTATTTTGCTGGGATTCTTCCTATATCCCCTTCTTTTGATGTCATAATCAATGGGGATGTCAGACAATCAAATTATGCAGTCCAAAACTCAGAAGCCAGTGCTCTATATTTTGTGGAGAAGGGAATCTGGAGCTTGAACATCACTCTGAAAAGCATCAGATTCACCCCCCAAATCAATGCAATTGAGGTGTATGAAATTGTTGATATTCCATCAGAAGTCTCCTCAACTACAGGTGTCAATCCCTTTTGGTTGTTCGCCCTCTGATTGTTGTCTTTGTACTGGCTACAACAGAATATTTAATGATGATATTCTGTTAACTGCTCTTGCAGTTTCAGCGCTTCAAGTTATTGAGCAGTCAACTGGTTTAGATCTGGGATGGCAAGAGGATCCATGCTCTCCTTTTCAATGGAATCACATTGGATGTGAAGGAAGCATAGTCACATCATTGTATGTGAATTCTAATAATCCAATCCGCTGATATTGCTGTTCCATCTTTCATTAGAGATCTATTGGCGCAGGCTTATCAATTTTTTTTTTCCACAGAGAGCTTTCAGGGATCAACTTGAGGTCTATTAGTCCTACGTTTGGTGACTTGCTAGATCTTAGAGCACTGTGAGGCACTTATCAACACAACTTTTATACTAATATTCTGTCTCAACATGAATTTTCCCTTTTATGTATTTACGCCAGATGATGTTATGCTGCAGGGACTTGCATAACACTTCACTTACAGGAGAGATACAAAATTTGGTTAGCTTGCAACATCTTGAGAAACTGTAATTTCTTCACGATAGAGTATTCATAGGGGAATTCTTGTTGTTCATGAATTAGACAAATAATGCTTAGCTAATTTTCAGGAATCTGAGCTTCAATGAGCTAACATCCTTTGGGTCTGATTTGGACCCCCCTGGTTAGCCTTCAAATTCTGTAAGCTGTTGCGTTCTCTCCCCAGAATTTACCCCTTTAAGATTTTGTTGATTTCTCTTCTCATGAAACTCTTTGGAGCCTTTACATCTCAAATGGCAATACATTTTACTCCAATGCAAAATATATTTGTAATTCATTGATCACAAAGGTGAACTAACAATGTTTTGTTTTTCTATTCCTTTCCCCTGCATGGAGGGATCTGCAAAACAACAGTTTGCAGGGAATAGTCCCTGACAGCTTGGGAGAGTTAGATAACCTTCACTTGTTGTAAGTACTAGACTTTGGAATTTTTCACTATGTCCTCTGCTGGATTAAAATTTGAATTCTATGTTCCTCAGAAACCTGGAAAACAATAAACTGCAAGGTTCTCTACCAGTGTCATTGAACAGAGAGAGTTTGGAAGTTAGGTATTACATTAATAGTCTAATTTGTTAATTATAATCCTTAATCTTTGTCTATTTATTTATTTATTTTTTGCATACTTGTGCATTTGTTTTCTGCAGAACATCAGGGAATCTATGTCTTTCCTTCTCCACCTTGGCATGCGATGATGTTTCATCTAATCCTTCAATTGAGACACCTCAAGTCACTATCTTAACCGACAAGAAACATACTGATAGTCATTATCATTTAGCAATCATATTTGGTGTGATTGGAGGAGCCTTATTTGGTCTTATCTTCCTTTCTCTCACACTATTTCTCTACACGAGAAAAAAGAGAACTGGCTTGACATACACTCCAAGTACACAGAACTTCGAATTGTAATTCTAATGAAAGTTTAGTAGAGACAATCTTATAAGCTATAGCAATACCTTGATGTGCAGGGCCATCAGCAGAGGTCAGAAACTGGAATGTAGCAAGAGTCTTTTCTTACAAAGAAATCAAAACAGCTACAAATAACTTTAAGGAGGTCATAGGCCATGGTAGCTTTGGATCTGTTTATCTTGGGAAGCTACAAGATGGAAGACTAGTAGCTGTTAAAGTTCGCTTCGATAAAACTCAACTTGGGGCTGATTCTTTTATTAATGAGGTTAGATTTGATGCCACAATAACCTTAAAGTCACATGATTTCCTTTGCACTTCTTAAATTTCAATGTCATTGCTCATTTACCTTAGTTTTCCATGTCTTGGGTTGTTTCTAGGTGCATCTCCTCTCCAAAATCCATCATCAGAATCTTGTCAGTTTTGAAGGGTTTTGCTATGAATCGAAGCAACAAATACTAGTCTACGAGTATCTACCTGGTGGATCACTAGCTGATCACCTATATGGTAAGTTAGGCAGAAACCACAGAACTTAGAAATTTATTCTTTGTTAAATTTTGTTTCCATTTCAGACATACCTGTTTCTCTATGTTACAATGATTCTTTCAGGTCCTAGCAGTAAAAAAACCTCATTGAGCTGGGTTCGAAGACTAAAAATTGCTGTTGATGCTGCGAAAGGTATGTCTCAATCCTTCGGGTCAGTCTTACAAAAAAACAGATGCATATGTAAAACTAAATTTAACAAGATTAAATATGAGCAAATAGGATCTTTCTGCATATGGTATGGCCTCCTTCAGAATCTTTTCCTGCATGACACACCTCGTGTATAATTTCATCCTAAAAGATGAATTTCTTGATTACTTGGTGAGGTTTGAGTGTCCCACAACTTGTGTTTGAAAAGAAAAACTGCATTGTAATTTTTAAAATTTTTGATAGTAAACATGAATTTATTTCTCTCATGGGTAAATTACCTTGAACAAACTATGTAAACTTTGCGTTTTTCTTGTTTAATTTTTGCTTGACTTGGCTTGTTTAATTTATCACCTCATGCAACATCCAAGTCTATTTTCAGTACAGAAATCTCTTCTTCCTATATATAGCATGGCATTGTTACTGTGTCAGAGATCAATGGTGGCTCATTTTTTGACCTGATTCTTTTAAAGGATTGGACTACTTGCACAATGGAAGCGAACCAAGAATCATACACCGTGATGTGAAGTGCGGTAACATCCTATTAGACAAGGAGATGAATGCTAAGGTCTCTGACTTTGGCCTCTCGAAGCAAGTGACACAGGCAGACGCAAGTCATGTCACTACTGTTGTTAAGGGCACTGCAGGCTATCTTGATCCTGAGTAAATCTCGAATAAATTCACTCGGCTTATTATTTGATTAACTTGTCAGCACTGATTTGTTAATCTGATTTCAGGTATTATTCCACCCAGCAGCTGACAGAGAAAAGTGATATCTACAGCTTTGGAGTTGTCCTTCTAGAGCTTATTTGTGGGCGAGAGCCATTAAGTCACTCTGGAACTCCAGATTCTTTTAATTTGGTGTTATGGGTAACTCCTACTGCCTTCTTTACTTTTCAATATTACCCAACTTCTCACATTTGGTTGCTATTCTATGCAAAGATAATATTGTATAAGATGATGTTTGTTTTACTGTCTTCTATTAATCAGACAGAAAAAGCACAAGTTGCTATAATAGTGTTCAGTACTATTTTTTATAATATAGAATCCTGGAATGGGATAAAAATGTATGTTCAAATTCAGAACAAAAGAGTCTAACTACATACGTGTAACATATTCATGGGTGTGGGTGCCTATTGTTTTTGTCTTTGATTTGGAACTGCAGGCGAAGCCTTACTTGCAGGCCGGTGCATTCGAGATAGTGGATGAAAGTCTGAATGGGACATTTGATGTGGAGAGCATGAAAAAGGCAGCCTCAGTGGCTGTAAGGTCCGTAGAGAGAGATGCATTGCGGAGGCCAAAGATTGCAGATGTACTGGCTGAGTTGAAAGAAGCCTACTCTATTCAGCTTTCATATCTCGCTGCTCGTGGGCATGCTGATTAACTAGAGACACAACAAGTACACAACCAAATTAAAAGTATTATCTTAAGTTTAGCTGCCAAATATGTAAAAAGTGTTGGCTTTTGCAGATTACACTACCGGTATGTTAGACACGGTGCGTCTAAGGTAATATACTGGAAGATAAACAATAGGGAGGCTGTCCCTTCAAATTTTACAAGTACATATATCTAATGGAGGTTGTCAGTTTAGTCTTTATAGACATATTTTGGGGAAGGATGGGTGTATTTGGGAAGAATATGTGTACTTTTTTTGGCAATCCTAGTAACAAGCTATTTTTTTCTCTTCTTTAGAAATTTGCCAGCTACAACTAAAAACTAAAGATTCACACCATGCAGTGCAGCCCATGCCTAAGAGTTTCAGCAGCACACCAGGCTACAGAGGACTGAACGAGCCAATTAAAATTCTCTCACTAAGTCTTTAGCTTGACTAATCAAAGTGTACAACTCTGAACGAGAACTTGTTTCGAGTTTACTGGAGATAAGTTATCTTTCCAGACACGTAATAACTGCTCTCCCTAAAACAATCAACCGATACAGAGATTTTTTTTAAAAAAATAAAAAGTACGCAGTATATTAATTACATGCACCAAGTGAATGCAAAACCCATGTACAAAAAAATTTATATATCAATTAGTATGTCAATAAGATGATACAAATAGATATCAAGCTGAGAACAAATATCTTAAGAAGGAATCAGGTTAGAGTGAACTATATAACCTAATTTTGCTGCTTATTGCATCTGATTTACCTGGACCACTAGACAAGTAACTACCCCATGCATAACTGAGAAAAGATACTTGGATAAACTATGCTCGAATTTGAAGATCAATAGAACTATCAATTTTCAAACTTTATCTCTCTATTCAACCAAAGGTTGCAACTACCATCCAACCAATAAATGATGGCTGGTATGCTCCATTTCTCATGTAATTGTTTGGAGCAGCCAATAAATTTTAGATAGACTAGGGAGAGTAGCGCTGTTGCACAAAAAGGAATAGTGCTGTTGCAGCAGCCGCAGCATAAGGAAAGATGGTCCAAATTCCCTGCATGAATCTTAAAATTAGACACCTGAATTTACAATTCTAGCAACTCTTGCAGCATAAGAATTTTCTTTACCACTGCTGTTGCAACAGTTGCAATGCCAAGTATAGGATTCTCCCTCAAAAGAAATCCAATTCCAAGCTGAATTAGCAAACAAATTGAATGAAGAAGCATTAGCCACCCCAAGACCACAAGTGAATATAGTTATGGTATTATCAAAGTTCTTTGCATCTGAAGCTGACAGATTACTAATTGAACTTTTCAGTTAATTTTTCAGAGTATGAAGTAGGAAGTTCGGATTATAAGTGAATTAGTTAGCAAAGTGGGCGCTACGATCATGATCCCTAATACCTTGATACCACAGACTTGCATTTAGGTGCCTGTGTAGCCTCAGGGATAATGGTGTATTAAAGACAAAAAATTTGAAGACTTCAGACCAAATATTTCCATGCATGTATTGTTATCTATATAAAATAGAACAATACCAACCTGAATTGGAAGAGTAATCAAGCCACCACAACAAACTCCAGCAAAAAAAACATCCGGAGATATACCCTGCATAGGCAGAAGAAATTATGGAGATCATACCATCTGACTAAAAGGAACAGATCTTGTTATCTAACAAGCAGCAGATATCAGAATATATCATGTGCATACTTCCAACAAAAATAATGATATACAAATATCCAGCTTCACTATCATAATCATCAAATAATACCATTCCTCAAAGTATTGTTGTAACTCAGGTTCAAATAACAGCAAAAGTTTGTTGTTTTAACTCGATATCATGCATTATTCCTTCTTTGTGTTATGTACATGGCTATATCCCTGAAAATGTTGGATATATGCAAAATAAGTTTTCTCAGATCAACTAATGACATACTTTCATAAGCACTCTTTCCTCTACTTAATGCAATTGAGGCTTTCATTTAAGAAAGAAGTAACTTATTTGCGTATATGAAGCAAATTTTCTCCTAATTCCAAAATTCAAAATTTTCTCACTCTCTTTGGAGATAAGATTATAAACTGTAACCTGAATTATCAAGTCAAAAGACATACCCAGAACATGTTTCTACTTTGGTTATCCTAACCCAGTATAGCTTTGGAATATACATTATCAAATCTATGCATTCGGCAATTAGCAGTAAAATATCACAACTTGGACAGTTTTAATATGTCATCATGAGAGCTTGATTTGTTTCTTTGGCGTTCCACGGCCCCATATATCCTTATAACATTTTCCTACCTCACGCTCTTTAATAAATAAAAGAATTCATTCGTATGGGCAGATCCAACCATACTTTTAGATCAGAAAATATCCCTAGCAAATAAATAATAAAACAAGCAATTATTTACCAGGGCACCAGCCAGAAAAGCAGTAGGATTTCTTACTCCAAGAGAAAATCGCTCAACTGCAGATCATAATTCATAAGATAATGAGAAGTAAAATTGAATATCATAGTGCAAGTGTGCCAGATCCATGGGCATGACAGACACAATAAACATAAGAATAATTAGCTAAATACCATTCTAGCATTTTAAGAAACTAGGCATGTTTAAGAATGCATTAAGTTTATTATGTGCCTGAGCAATGGCTATTTGATCCCAATAAAATCTAAAAGTAGAACTATAATGAAATGACTGGGGCTAGAACAATGGCTATTTGCTAGACTCAGCATACAAATATATTTACTGTATCTGGTTTAATTACACTAGTCAAAACATAAAGGACAGATAAAGCAGAAAGATCATCATTTGTAACAGTAAGTCCTGTTTTCCAAGAGTTAAAAAACTGTTGTAGAGAGAAGGAAAAAATAATAAAGGGGAAAGATGCAGTTGATGCCCCCAGAGAGGCATGTGATTGGGCACAAGGTTTTAAAAGGAAAATGACCTGAAAATTTAAAAGCTCACTTTCCATTTTGATGGGCATTATGGTTGCAGATTATTTCATATGATCATGCAAGATACTCACATAGTTTGAACATACCAGTTTGTCCTTTTGAATGGGAACAAAACATATAGAAATAAGAACATGAGCCTGATAACTCACCAACACCTACAAGATTGCCATATCTTTGAACAACGCGTGTGATGCTTGTTGCTTTTTCTTTCCCAATCCCTAACTGCAGCCATCATGAATATTACAAAAATGCATGACTCATTACTGGGAAAAAAACATATATGCATTTTGGCTCATAACCAATCATCAAGATTAATGGATCCATGCAAACATATGCATATGTTCAGTAAACCTGAAGACCTTCTATGAAAGAAGCCAGTTGATAGGAAAAACCTTTGAACAGACATCATCAGATGCCCCACTTTGCCTGAAAAGCTTCCCAAGGTAAAATGGTATCATATCACTTATACAAACTCCCCTGCAGTTTCAAGTCATCATGACATAAAGATAATCAGAACTCCCAAAGCTGTAGTGACTCAGCAGAAAAGATAAGCAGAAGAAAAAGAGAAGATAAAAAGAGAAACACAACAGGAAATGGGAAAAGAAACCAAAAGAAACAAAAATAAGAAAATAGGATTCTCCATGAGCAGCTTGTAGGTGGATTGTACACAAAATCATTCACATATATAAGCAAACAGGGTTCAGATTGCTTAAGCAAGAAGGTTGCTAGCTATAGTTTTCACCTTAATACACAAATTTAAGCCTTGAAGCCTGGTAAAATCACGTGGTGAAGTCTGAACTCTAACATGTTATTATCGCTAGAGAAGGTTCCCTCACCATTTGCACTATCTACTAACAAAAATTGACATGAAACAACCAGATAGGAAAGAACTTAACAGAAAACTGAGTTATAACTAACCAGTATACCCACAGAACAGTTGATACTATGTAAGGAGCATTTCTGGAGAAAGATTCAATAAAGGACTGCCATGTGCCATCAAATGAGAGCATCCTCGCGAAAGATACACCAACCTACATTTGCGAGAAAATTCACCATAAAGTTCAAAAGAATTACAATTCTAAAAGGAATGGCAGTCCTTACAATTCTAAAAGGAATGGCAGTCCTTGACAATAAAACAAAACCTATCATAGTGAGTCATAGCAAATGCTTGAGTCAGTGAAACAGAAGTACCAGCACAAAGCACAGACCCATATATTTAGAGCCTCTTCGCTAATAAAAAGTCCACATCCTGCAGCCATAAGCAACCAGAAGTAGATCCATCTGCAATGGGGTATTGCACAAGAATCTTCAGAACCATTTTATTCAATATACATCTGAGGAGAAAAATGACCATTATTTTCATGAACCATGAAAGTTTTCAATTAAGAAAAGCAAAATAAAAAAAACATTCAAAGAAGCAGTTGATTTAACAATTGTGGATTTGGAAACAGCTCTAAGACTACATATGCCCTGAGAAGATTGAGACTTTAAGAGCCAAGCACATAATTTGACAGTATGAATCTGAATCTGATAAAATGAGCAGAAGCAGTTTATTTAATAGAATACATTTGGGGGTGAGGGGAGATCAATTTGACTGCTTTTTTACTAAAACGCTGTTTTTTTGTCTTTTTTTTGGACTATGTCAAACGCAACGGCATGAGACTGCCCGAGCAACAAGTAGAGCTATCGACAGCTGAAAAGCAAGATTTTGGACTCGCAAGGTCCTTAATCATGGACTTTCTACCATTGCAGCCACCTCTCAGGTGGTACCCAAACCATTATTAATATCAAGAAATTGCATTGGAATTTGTTTATATTTAGCTTTGAAAAGAAGAGGCGGGAGGAGGGGAGAGAGAGATAGACCAAGAAATGCAGTTTATTAATGAATTAAGGACAAAGGACTTGGAAATAGCTCTAATTATAACATTTAGCGAACATCCTGGGAAAATTAAGAACTAGGAGCACATACCCTGGCGCATATTCTGGAATTACAAATCTATATCCAAAAGCCTTGAACGTGAAACCAACAGGGGAAGCCATGGCTAAAGTTGATGAACCTTCAGCCAGACATTGAACTCCTAGTGATGATCCAGGACCAGATGGCTTGAAGCCAATGGATATGACCGTGATAGTTGCCGCTACAACCAAGGCAATTGATAATTTTGCCAGAAATGAACTACCTGTACTAGCAGCACCTATGTTTTGATCTTCAGGTACCTCTGCAACCTCCTGTTTTTCCTCTGGGTTATCTTTATTAGTATTCTCGTCCTGAAGGCTTCTTATCCTGCTTGTATGATTGTGAGATGCATTAAACATTTATGTTATGCAATAATCAGTTGCAAGGTGGCATTCGGCTATACTACAAGAATTGCTACTGAGATACAAGTCATCTTACATATGAAATCTCAAAGATAATAAGGCAAATCTATTTGAGAGGAAATTTCATAAAGTACAAAGAGCATAATTTTCTTGGATGCAATCACAGGGTTCTAGATTAGTTGTTTCACAGTCCTATTCATCTTTCCTTCCTTGAAATAATTAATTGGATCAGTTATTCTGAACCACGAAGCTGAAAGTATAGGTTAAGCACAAGGCCATTATTTCTTGTGCGGAGATTTAATTAAAATAAGTGAAGTGAAAATCAGTATTGGACCTCAATCTGTATTGGAAACTTTGCCCCTTTGCTCCAATACCATGTAAAACAATTAATTGAACCATTTATTATTTTTACTATGACATTTTCCATCAAAACCCAGCCGGCAATGAGCACAACTTGATAGCCTCCAGATTTATATAGGAAGATAAAACTCAACAGTAGCAATTAATCAAGCAGTCACCATTTCTCCGATAATATCATACTTCTCCTGATATTAAGTTTATAATCCAATGCACTGATAGACTCTTTAAAATGTTCCAGAAAAAATGAAGGAATTTTATTAAGTGTCTAATTCATAACCAAAGGCTCACAAGTCCCAGCTTCAAAAATCCAATAATAATAAGTCATTATACATCCAAGCTTTGATCAGGAAACAACTAACCTATCGTTAAAAAGAAAAATAAAATAAAAGCTAGTTACTGGCTTTTTCCTTTAGAAATGACTAGTAAAGCAAATGCCAACACTTCATCACCTGCTATAACAAGAAAACCACATCGACGAATGCAACGATACGAATGAAAATGACTAAGTAGACGTGATTTATTCAATTACGCAAAGCAAACCAAGGGATCATGGAAGAACACCGCACTCGCCAAATCCTTCTTCCAAGTTTTCACTTCCTTTAGTCCTTTTGATAACGAGTATAAACAATGGAAAGTAAAGAAAAAAGGGGAACGAATAATGGATATACCTGGAATTAGATGACCTACGGAACTGAGAAACCAATATGTATGCAGAGTTGTCGGAGGAAACCCGACGAGGGACATTGAAAGAACTCGCATCGATTAAGGGTCGTCGATTGAAGGGTGTATGAACCGGTTTAGGAGGGTTTAAGAAAAATCCATTAACGAAAACCGCCGCCATTGAAGACATATGTTTCGGAGCTATGTGGTTAAGAGCAGAGAAGAAATGAGGCGAGGAAATCAGCAGGTTCTGGTTTTAGGTCCATGTGGCATGGCGTGAATGGTTTAAGTGAACAGACTGAAGGAATGAAAACGAATATACTGTTATTTTTAGTGTCTGGATTTCGCAGATACTCCTCAAATTTTTAAAATAAAAAAAAAATCAAAAATAAATTAATATACTGACATACTGATGCATGATGAAATTAATTTTATTTATGTAAAAGAATATATTTGTAAAACTAATATAATATAATATTTTTATTTAAATATATATTTTACCAAATAAATGATTACCGAATGTTAAGCACAATTAAGAAGCTTAAATATGACTTTACAACTCTAATTATATAAGTAAATATATTTTCATTATTCACTGTTTAAATAATCATTATAATTTCTCCTTATTTTTATAATCGCCTGCAAAACTATAACTTCACTCGTGTAGAGTAACATAACTATAATTACTTATATTTTATATCATTAAATAATTATTTCATTTTACTTTATTTTATTAAACTATCATTACGTTCCAAACCAAACAACCCGCACTAAACCGAGCTTGCCTAAATGCTACTTTCTATTTATAGTTAATTACGTATACACCGAATAATCTCATTTTATTACAAAAAGAAGACTAATTAAAATTAATTAAGCCATTTTAAATTAATTTTTTGTTATTAAAATTCTATTCATTTCTATCCTCTCTTCCTCCTCTCTAGTGAGCCTATGATCTCACCAAACTTGTTCGGGGAAGAGAGATTTACGGGTGGAAGACGACGGAGGGAGAGAACAACGGAGTGGAGTGGAAGTTACTAGTAAATGAACAAAACGACGCCGTTCCTAGTGTAATGGCGCTTACTTTCCACCTGATAACATTCAACGCCGTGAAAGTGACGGTTTATGTCTGGTTCCAGTAGGTTGCTTCGCGGCTCTGAGGGAGCTGTATAAGAGGCTAATCTTGCCCACGTGGAGAATCCATAAAAGGCTCTTCTTTCTATAATCAAATTCAGCTTCAGCCATTCTCTGTCGGTTTTCATGATCCCTTTCTCATTCTCTTCACTTCCACGAGCTCGTCACAAATCTCGAAGCTGCTCTAAAAATTCCAGGTTTTGCTTTGTTCTTCTTCTCTTTTTTATCCCCTTTCCAAATGAACTAAACTTTTTGTAGCATGGATAATCACTAATTTGGTGATCGTCTTTGAGCTTATGATCGACAACCCAGCTTTATTGTCTCTGGAAAAAAAAAACAGAAAAGATCACGGGTTTTGTAGTTGTTACTGAAATTTCCGGTCAAATTTAGCTTGGTATTTTCTCTGTACGAGGATTCCTTCTCTATTTTTTTTTTTTCCTTGGATTTTTACTCTAATGATCCTCAATTTTAGCTATTATCTATTTTGGCTTTAAGAAGTATATACTCACTTATGCACCATGGTACTTCGAATTCCGTAGAGTTGTAGTGTTTTTTCTGACGGTGAGTAGTAATTATGGAACGCATATCATTGCAGACTTTGCAGTTTCCTTTGCGGGTGTTTGATTTTTGTTTGACCAAGTGTTGGTGATCACCGGTTGCTTATTTAAGGTTCCACCGAAATCCAGTTGTTATCTTAAGCATTTTCATGAATAGCAATGGCTTTCCGAGCAAACCATTCATGGACTTTGGTTGGCCTCATATGCGCTTATCTTGACCTGACTCTTGCTTATTTTCTTCTTTGTGGATCGACTATTGCGTTTTTCATTTCAAAATTCTTGCATCTTTTCGGTCTGCCCTTGCCATGTCCCTGTACTGGGTTCCTGGGGTTCCGTTGTTGTGAGTTGTGCTTGCATAAACTACTTATTGATTGGCCAGTAAGTGTTATCCTTTCTGTTCAAGATTTAGCCAAGAATAGTTTTTCTTTTGATTCGATTTGTTTTGAGGATCAAGAGCACCAATCAAATCTGAAGTTATTAACAGACAACAAATGTGAAACTGGCCTTCTTGAGTTGAATGATGAATCCTGTTCTAGTTCGTTTCCTGGTCCAAAAGTGCAAAAATCAGCTGATAAAGAAAGTGGGTGTGATGTTAGAGAGAAGAAAACTATGAATCAGAAGCAAAGAGTTGCAAATAGGCGTCGAAGAAGAGCTAATTTTGGATATGGAAAGTCCTCTTCCATTTTGCCATCTGATGCCATGCAGTCAGTTGTAGCTGGTGGTTCCACATCTATTAGTGACGGCGAAATCATTGAAAGTCGAGGCCCTGTGAGTGAAATAGATGATGTTCTTCAGGGTGAGTGACACAATCTAAATCAAGGTCTTTTTGGATTTTCATTCAAATAAAGTTTAGCTGACCTCTTTGAGTTCTGATCAATATGTGTGTGTTTGTGCATGTTGTTGTGCTTTCCACAATAGATTTTAGTTTTTACTTTAAGCAAGTTGGATCTAAACAATATTCAAGATCTCAAGTGCAAATGTTAATGTATCTTTTATAGAAGGTTGAAGGTATGGTTGTAGGGGACTTGTTTTGTTGTCATCATGAGCTTGTAAACTTATTAGCTCTAAATGTGTACTGACCTTTTAGCTGGTGCTATATGTTAGATGAGAAAAATGCAGCAACTAGCAGTGACTTGGATGAGAGAGGCTGGAATGGTTTTGAACTGAATGGTTCATATTTGGAGGCTGATAGAAGAGAGAAGGATTCATCTTCTGTTGAAAGCTCCATGTCCAAGGCTGAAGGTACACCAGGGATTTCTGGAGATGAAAAGAATGTGATCAGATTGTTGGAACAGGCTCTTCAAGGAGAAAAAGCTGCCTGTGCTGCTCTTTACATGGAATTGGAGGAAGAGAGGGCTTCTGCTGCAACTGCTGCTGATGAAGCGATGGCCATGATTCTGCGCCTGCAAGAGGACAAAGCTTCCTTAGAAATGGAATCAAGGCAGTATGAAAGGATGATGGAGGAAAAATATGCATATGATGAAGAAGAGATGAACATTTTGAAAGAGATCCTCGTTAGGAGGGAGAGAGAGATTCATTTTCTGGAGAAAGAACTTGGAGCTTACAGACAGATGAATGATTTAAGAAATGAACCATCCGAAGGTGAATTTAGTTGTATAATTAATAAAGGAGAAAGAGAGCTTTCCCCTTCTCCTGTTTTGGATGAAGATCCAGCTCTGGTGATACAGCATACTGAGAACAGTAAGGAAATGGGAAATTGGTTATCAAATCTTGAGGCTTCCTCTGCTGACAAATTGAATCAAACTTGTGCTTTTGCGAAACCTGGAGCACCAAGAAGCAAAGATCTAGATTCCTCCGCTTCACAAGGTTTGGTGCAGATGTGGGAGAAGAGTTCAGATTCTTATGAGATAAGTCCTGATAACCATGATCTGCACAGTGTTGAGAGGAAAGAAGTGATAAAAGATGATAAGGAAGTATATGAAGGATTAACTACTGGAGCGGTCCAATCTAGTGGTGCCATTGAGAGAAATCTTTCTCAGGACAAAGATTGTCAAGAGAAAGATGGTGAATATGGGGTTCAAGTATGGCTCAGTGAACATGGTCCCATTCTTGATAAAGAACCTATTGTCTATGATGTCCATGTTATTGATGATAAAGCTGAACTGTGGGAGGTGAATGAAAGAGAAAGTGGACGGTTGAACTGCGTTGCTTCAGGTTGTGGGGTTTGGAATGATGAACCATTATGTGATTCCCATATTAGAAACATGACAAAGACTAAGCCTGACATTCCCAGAAGCAGTTCGAGTACGAGTGGCAGGTTAGGAATGTCTAGTAGTTCAGTAAACAGGAACTCTTCAACAATCAGTAATGAAAGACTGAAGCTTGATTCTGAAGTTGATTGGCTCAGGGAAAGGCTGCGAAAAGTTCAGGAGGAAAAGGAAAAGTTGACATTTACTGCCGAACATAGAGAAAGGGTGAACGCACAATTGAAGCTCATGGAGGAGATAATGAATCAACTCCGAGAGATTCAGCAGGTAAGAGAGCCCATAGAGGAGCTTTCTTTACCTGTACAGTTTTAATTTACCCAATTTAGATTACTATGGTGTGAGAGAAGGTGTGTATTCTTGGTCACTGACCATATTATAATTCTCTGCCATCCTGTCCCCCCAATCCCTATTGTTTTTCTTTCCTTGAAGTTCCTAGAAAATGCCTAGAATATGAAACTAATGGACTGCTAGTCAATATAGTTAGTTGTAGTTTGTAAATATTATCTGTTTATTTATATTATGAGCACTGGAAATGAGATGCTTTGGATTTCCTATTTCCTTTCAGTTTGAGACATTAAGTGAATGAATGACAGAGAGGGAGAAAGTTTAAAATTGAACAGATTTTCTGGAGTTGGAGATGGTTTATGGACTAGAGAAAGGAAATTGATATGGAGATTGACAAATTGCTTTCTCATGTACAATGAAGACCAGTCAACATATCTATGTAGAGGAGTGGTTTGATTGGAACTGAGGGAATTGTTTTGTCGATGAAGAAAGAATGAACTTGCCAATAAATCAGTTGAGAGTATATCCGTGACATGTAAATTTTGGTTATAACTTTTGTCATGAATCATTTTAGTTCGTACTTTGTATTATGTGGAGATAATTTCTGATTCTTACTTGGTGAGTAATTGTTTGGAGATGATTTCTAGTTTGTTCTTGATAAGGAATGAGATAGAAATCTATTCTCTAAGGAAATCAGGCTAGGAGTAGAAGTGAAATTCATTCAGATATAAAACTTAAAATTCAATTGGATATTATCAAGAATAATCTAACCAATGAACAGAGCATGAATTGAACAATAGACTGTAAAATGCTGAAATATGAATGTTTTATTTTGGCTTGTTTTCTTGTTTCTGCTAATGCCATGTGTCTTGAAAACACTCAGAAAGTGGTCAAACTAGGTTCCTGCAATTCCTAACATAGTCCTCAAATGAGGAGGTATGCATGTTGGGGATGTTACTGTGGTGCATCAGAGATAGCACATTTCTCAGTAAGTTTAACATTTCATAGTGAGTTAGTAATTACTTAATGTTGTGTGATATATAAGTTTACTAACTTTCTAGGTAAATGACTATGAAACCTTAGAAGATTATCCTGAGGCATCATAGATTTTACCACTATCTGAATATATTTGGCAACTTGATTGGTTTTAGATTATGCCGTGCTGAAGGTATAATGAATGCTATTTTACATGTATGTAAAATGAAACTGAATCCCATAGCAAGATCCATCTCTGTGTTACACTCTGTAAGATGCAAGAATCACGATCACTGCCACAATGTGTTAGTCTTGTGTTATTATTGACCACTGTCCAAATTGCCATGGCTGATGCTTACTGGCTAGCCATTGCTGCTGCTGCTGCTGCTGATGATGATGATGATGATGATGATGCGTTGCATTTCAGGTAAGCTTGAGTAGAAGCAGGTCCCAGAGCATATCAGGGGAAGCAATTGAAAGCATACAGGCCATGTGAGTAACGACAAGAATAATCTTTATAGTGCCTTCAGGTTCGGCTTTTGTTTGGTGTTGGTTTTGCAACTTCATTTGGGTCTAAATGAAATTCCACAGCAACTTGCTGTCATCATTTTCTTCTCTTTTCTTTTCCACACAAACACATACATATAATATACATGTAATGATTCTCCAAAGAAGAATAAGTGGTAAAGATATAATGATCGTTTTGTTATTAGAATAATCATTACCCACAGTTTGAATGAAGAACACGACGACTCTATCTTTGAGTTCTTTTTCCTCTCTATCTTTCCAGTTTGACAGTCTTTCTTACCTGCCTCCATTTCTGCCAGTTTGCCCATAAAAAAAAAAAAGAAAGGGGACAGTTACTCGAAAAGGGTAAATCTTGTTAGATTGTAATTTAAAATTAAATGATGATTGATTGTGATAAATAGAATTGTCGTTGTAATTGTTTATGATCAGTGAATTTAGATGCAAAAGCATACCAAGAAAAGAATGACTAGTCCGAAATTTGAATAATCAAAGAGGAACAATGATTCCATGACAGTCAAATCCAGTTCAGACGACACGTGCCCACCGTCTGAAAGCATGTGTTACTCACAATCTTTACAATTTACACAGCGTTTGGATGGAATAAATGGTTTTGAATTGTCAACACCACCTTTTTCTTCCCAAGGCCATAAACAAAAGGAACTTTTGTTCTCTGACAATCATTACTGTAACAACAAAAAAAAAAAAAAAAGAAATATTCTCGTTTTACAGTACTGGTGGATTGATTGATTAACAGAGGGAAAAAAAAAAAACAAAAAACAAAAGGCGTTTTAAAAATGAATCATCATTATTTCAACAAAAATAATGCTCAATGAATGGCGGTATAGTTCTGTACTATTTAATTAAGCATGTAAAAGAATGAAATGAATATATTATTGGGGAGGTAGCGCCGGTTGACGGCGGAAGACGGTGTTTTCCAAGCATGAAAGCCGCGCCGTTTCTACTGTTTGTGACTGAATCCGGACATGTCACTGCGTGAATGGAGGAGTTGACCGAAAGTAATTTGTCAAAGCACTTCTCCAATCCCCAAAGCCGGCGTCTGTGCCCCACTCTCTATTTATTTTAATGTTTCTTAATTTTATAAATTAACCATTTTTTAAATGATAAGCTACAAATGTACCCTTATTTTTTTAACCTGAGATACAGTTATTACTAGTCTTTTTTAATTTAACTAATTATGATGAATTATGTGGCTTTTAATCCTCCACCAAAATTTAAAATGTACACGAACTTCTTTTGTACATACTTTTTTCTATTTAATTATTACCATCTTAGGTGCCTAATAAGTAAAAATAAACCACAACTTACATATTTATATATAACTCAAATCATTTTTATTTTTTTAAATCCCATAACAATAAACTTATTTTTCTCACATGTTATCGAAAAAAAAAAATTACAACAATACTTTAACTCAATATATACTTTTTAATGTTGTATTTACTTAAATATTTTAATCAACTTATCACATGACATTAAATATTTCCTTTTTTTCCTAGAGGCACAAAAATCTTATACTATAACAACCCAGGATGTTTGCCTTCCTGTATAAAGATGTATACGCACGTATATATATGTATATATGTATTTAACCAAATGTTGCCGAGCAGTGTATTTGCAATAGAAGAAAACAATTGGGCATCTTATGGTGCCACGTGTAATCATGAATACCTCCGTACATCTGACTCACCGACCGGGCCCACCTGGAAAACTGCAAGTGGGTCCAGACGTGTCAACCAATTCTCTTCAAATTACAAACCACCCCTCTTAAAAAGATTATTATAATATTATTTAATTTCATGCGCCCATAATAAACAGCCGGTTTACAGCATCTGCCTAAAACTTTTTATATATTTTCTAATCAATAAAAAAAAGAAAAAAGAAAAGAAATACTACCTTTCGCTTCGCAAACTCCGTCAACAAACGGCAAACATTCAGTTACGGACTCTCCCTTGACTTTTACTTACACTCTGCCTGACGGAAGCAGAACAGAGCGGCCGTTTCACGCTCCCTCTCTTACAAATGCCTCTTTCAAAACGATCATCTTCTCCCTAACCGAAAGCTACCCAGCTGCGGTGCGTTCCGCAGCTAACTACATATAATACACTAAGACGTATTTCCTTACTATTATCATTTCAGAGAGAGAAAAAGTTTTTACCTGAGGAGAGACAGAGACAGAGAGAGATGAGGTTCGTAACTCGAAAGCAACCTTCTGTGTGATGAGAGAGAAAGCCTGCCTCGTATCCCTGTAAGCTTTTCTTTTTCTTTTTTTTTTTTTTGTTGATTGAAATATCCATGTAACCTATATATACACACAAACACACATATATCTACCAACACAAAATTAAATCGTGCGATTGCGGTTTCGTTCAAGGTATTTAGATTCGTTTAATATTTTTTCCTACCGATGTGTTAATATCGTCATTGAATTTTCTTGAATTGATCAAACGTTTCCTCGAATTTATATTCTTCTTGGATCTGTTTGTGTTCGATTTCGTGCTCATTTAATCGGCTTTGAATAATAATAACGTCAAAGATCGCCTTTATTTCTGTTTCTTTGCTATACCGATATCAACGAGTTTCATCTGGTAATCTTGCGGATCACCAGGATCTTCGTTTATCTTTTGAACTGTTTCGAAGATTTCATAGTTTTCTTCATTTATCTTATTAATGCAGATAAAGGTTCAATACGAATTTCGCACCGATTGCACCCAATGCCAGGTAATTTGGCGCATTAGTTTTACCAAAATCTAGATTGAAGTCCGCGATCAAATTGCAATTGAGTTCATGGGTTTTTAATTTTAGGAGAAATAGTTTCGATTGAAGAAAATGAGAGGGGTAAATTGTTCGATATCAATACATCAGAGGACGAAAAGCGAAGAACTCGAGCCAGATCTTTAAGGAGAAGAGCAGCGAATGCTTCAACAAAACTAACGCATAGTCTTAAAAAACGCACAAACCGAGTCGCTGATTGCCGATATGCAGGGATTTCTATTGAAGACGTCAGGGACACAGAGGAGGAGAAAGCTGTAAATGCCTTTCGACAAGCATTGATTGCCAAAGATTTTCTTCTGGCTCGTCATGATGATTACCACACTATGTTGAGGTAATGGTATATGTTATCATATTAATACATTTGTATATGTGTGCACAATTTGATCAATGTCTATGGTATATTCGTGTTTGATTAACCTGAAGTAAGGGGATCAAGTGATCATCCATTTGCATAGCATTCTCCTCATTAATTTTTTCCATAAGCTACACGAGGATCGGTATGCATGAGAGCTCCTATAAGTTATGACTGTAAATGAACTTGGAAGACATGAGAAGCTGATAAATTATTGAGTTTGTTTTAAAGGAAATTCAAGTATGTAGAGAGAAAATCAGTATTTTCTAGGCTGCTACAATGTCACCTAATAATTATCTGAACCCAGCTTGGTGCTGGAAACAGCTTGAATGTTTGTTTCACTGATACAGTTGATTGATCTCTCTATTCGCAAACATAAATTGGTACATTAGTTGTTTTTTTACAATGTCAAAGTTGTTCACAAGTTTATCTACGATAGTTGCTATTTTTTTGGATTTTTAATGTGGATTTCTAGCTCAATACTTTATAGGACTCACAACAGCATTGAGTCAAAGAACTGCAGGTTGGA